GTAGTTTGAGAGTGTGATATAGTACAATGTTGAATGGATGGATCGTGAGTGGATTTTATAGATCAGAAAATACAAAAAATATAAACTGTAAATGATGTAATGTAATCTATCTTGTAATATATTTGTAAATATTTGTCGTTGTTGTGGTTGTTTGTGGCCATCGCTCGGCTAGGTTTCCTTCCTAGTCGGTTGATATTCCTGGCCGTCCTTGGGCGAGATGTTCTTGTGACGAGAACAATGTTCCCGTGTTAAAATCTCACCCTAACGCCGAGAACATCTACCTGGAACACTGTTCTCGGAACAAATTCCACACTACCTTTTGAGCGGGAGTCAGAAGAACAAAGATGGCGGAACTATAAGGTGAGGTGAGAACCGGCAATTGCATGTCGTCTAATGACTGTTGTTAAACTTGAAATCACGTTTAGAAAACAGCGTTCGTATGATAACTAAGATAGATGTCATGATTTGGCAGATTCCTAAATTTGTTCATGTCTTCAAACTCGATAACAGGTTATCTACACAACACACGTGATGTATCGGCAACATATCGGATGATAATAAAAACGATAAACACACTAAATCTGAGAACAGGATTTAAATTGTAGGTAGAAGTTATTACATGGTATAACAGGACAATTATGTGATAAATATTGATAAATGTTTTGTGTACAAATATATCACTTTTTTATGATGGCCAAACATCAATCAAAATCGACCTGTTATATTTGCCACAAATCAGCTAGTCCTCAGATAGTGAAAATGCATTAGAATCACCACAGGCACCTGTTTCAAAGAAACATGTCAAGGAAATTCCAGGAAGGAAACGGAAGAATAGGGTATCCAGTGGAGTGGATAAAATTATTCGATGGATGAACTCGGACCAAGAAAACCAGGAAGAAATGGAAACAAGGAGGTTCAAATTTATCAAGAAGCAAAACAAGGCTGGATAGACTGCTCGACATTATTAGCGACAACCAGGATAACAAGCAGAAACAGAGTGATTCAGATTCTTCTGCCTAAAATATGTCAGTGTAGGTTACTGTTCAGACGCCATTGTTTCTTCTTTTCGTCACGTCATATCTGATGAAAATGTGACATGATTGATATTATGGCTTTAAATAAAAGCATAGTGACTGTTATAGTGGTGACATTATGATATATGACAACCGTTGTACATTTTTTGTCGATCTGTGATGTCAGAGAGATATAGGTGTGATATGATTTTGTCGCTTTAGATAAAAGCTATAACTTAGATATAGTAGTGAAATTACAATCATCAGATACAGTATACAAGTTCAGTTTTTGTGTGACTAAGACAGGACATGACAGTATCATGCGATGTAAAGCTTAATACATTGCACTCTTTCCTAGCAATCAACATTTTTTGTATTTTTGGAGTAAACACTTCGAATATGCATTCAGATAAATTGCAATTGACAAAGCAGTAATGTTACTGACCGTCCATCAATATATTTTCATATTTCTGTTTATTTTTTCATTTTATTTTTGTTTTGTTTTGTACATGTAATTGTTGAATAATTTCAATAAATAAGATTGCAAAGCTTACCAGTTTCATGTCATTTATCCACATCATTAGCTCACCAGCTTCTGCCATGGCATGATGTCATTTAGATTCTTTGCATATTCTGTTATGACATTATCAGGAAAAGTGGATCGGAATCAAACAAGGAGTCAATAGGCTGATCAATCAGTCGGAAAACCTAAAAAAATTGCAACAAAAGAAATAACGGTATTTTTCATCAAAATATATCATTAATTACTTGGGTAGAAAAATCGGCCGAAATCGGCAAGTGGGAAAATCGATTTTTTTGCATTCAATATATCGGCTATTTTTCTGCCGTAAGCGCGATACCTATGGGCTGCCGTTAGATGGTTGCAGACGGCTGCAGTGATGACCAGCCGATGAAGATTTGGATTATTTTATGACAAGGAAACAATTTATTATCACAAATGAGAAACAGTAATGGTGTGCAACATGTCCCTGAATACTTTGCTATATAGTTATATGAAGAAAGAATGAAATTTAAACAAAATTGTCGGAAAGCTGATCATAACATCGCGAGATTCTAAACATAGAACAGAACTGTTAACATACCGGTAAAATATCAAATTTAGATATCTAGACATGAAATAAACTTATTTCATAGAGGTTTTATGAAGGAGTTAAGTAACTAAAATATATCCTGTCCATAACACAACATGTCAATTGAAAATTTCATCAATATCTAACATATCGAGGTTTTGACGGAAAAAATAAGTATGGAAGCCCTTAAGCATCAAACATCGAAGTAATGTAAATCTGCCAGAATCTCGTTTTTCATTTTAACACGGAAGTTAATATACGTTCCTTGGTGCTAAAATGATTTATTTGATATTTTCAGTATATATGGAATGGATACAACCTCGTCGCTTTGTTCAATCTGCAATCAAGAAGTTGGGTGTTACGTTAACAGCAAAAGGGTGTGTTAAAATAACGAAAGCTAATCAGCTGAGACAAACAAATGTCTCTGTTGAACCTGGAGATAAAGTACATATATCATGTCGAAAATCATTCACGAACAATAAGGAAATAAACAGATTTTTAAATACATATACTGCTATTAAAAATGCTTCTGCGAACAGTATACTTTCAACGACAGCTTTAAGGTCTCAGGGCACATTCGATTACAAAAGCCAGTGCATATTTTGCGGTTTAAGTGCAAAGAAATCGGGACTCAAACGCGGATCGAACGTATCTGCAATAAAAACTGATAATTGCGACCAAACACTAAGAGACCTGTACAAACAAAGAAATGCTGAGTTGGGAAACGAAGTTTTTGGAAGAATTCAATTCACTTCTGATCTGCATGCATTTGATGCTATACACCATCATCAAAGCAGTACGAACTTTAGAACGTTCAAGTCTAAACCAGGGGAGTAGTATTCTGCAAAAAAGGACGACCTTCCACTCTCAATGAAAGTTTCCTTTATGCTGCGTCGTACTTGCGCGAAAATGCAGATTCACAAATCAGTATATCTGATCTTGTTGAGAAGATGTCTGAACATTCTGAAGCAGAAAATGCATATGGTCAACAATACACGAAGGACCGTCTAAAAGAACACTTTGGAAATGAGATCGTGATAACTGAAATGAACGGAAAGCAAAACATAGTGACATTAACATCAAATGCAAAATCTATATTGCATGATTTTTTATAAAAGACCTAAATCCAAAGACCAAGAAGAAGAGAAAAGTGCCATAATCAATGCTGCTGCAGCGTTAATAAGAGAAGATGTTCGTGCTGTAGAAACTTCAAAAACTCACTATCCATCGACCGAAGAAATTTCGTCTGAAGAGAAACACATTGAATACCTCCCTCCATCTATATATACGTTTTTGTCTTCCCTTATTCTTGTGAAAGATAAAAACTTGAAAATATCTTCGATTGGACATGCAATTGTGCAGGCTATCAAACCAAGAAACTTTTTGGCGCCTTTACAAATTTCACTTGGTGTACAACTTCACCACCAGTTTGGTTCCAGATTCTTATTGGATACTCTAAATAAGCTGGGTTTTTGTGCTTCCTACACAGAGGTTCAGACATTTGAAAGCTGTGCAGCAACGGTAAATGCAGAAAGTGATATTTCTATACAGGAAGACCATTGCATACAATACACCACGGACAACGTTGACCACAACACTAGAACTATAGATGACTTTGGGACATTTCATGTCATGGGTATGCTAACTCCGAATAACAAATTTGGAAAACCTATTCCAAGACCAATGATATCAAAGGAGCACGTGGTATCTTTAGCAAAAATAAATATCCAGTACTATGCAAATGAGAACACCAAGGAACTATTATTTGAACGATATTACTGTACATGATTTGCAAGAAGAAATTTAGTAAATTCAGATTCCCGTGATAATTATTTTAACGACAACAGCCACTTGTTTGCCCGGATGTTTGTACAATCTTAACAGACATTATTTGAATTTATCATAATTTTACTGATAATGATTTCTTCAGTCAGTAGCATATTGGAAACATATTATATAATGACCAATGCAGAGACATTCCGGCTATATTTAACAGTCATAATATAGGAATATTCTTACACACTGTAAAACAATATAGAAATGCACTCTAATTGTTAGTCAGTTTTCCACAAATATACTCATATTTAGATGACTATTATTTTAAACGCATCTAATACAACTGGGGTCACTGATTATATAGAAATTGTAGGGTGTCCTTTATAATGACCTTTACAAAACGTTTCCCGCCAATTTTTACGGTCACTATTCGGGATTTATATATTGCGCCTTCATTATTTCATGGGAATGAAGTTCTAAAAATAAGGCAGTCCTGCACGTGTTCTTATTTAGATGACCTTGATTGTAATTTTCGCAAATGGAGCAGAGCATCGGTGATTACATGCAAAATTCGAGGTGTCCTACATACTGACCCCGAAAAGGGGGTTTCCCACCTTATTTGAAGGGACGATTTTTTACCTGTGTTTTATAGGACCCTTATCTATCAAAATATGTAAAAAAAACCATTTGTTGCAATTTTTTTGAGGTTTGGCTAAATCGGGGCTAAATTGACTAGCCTACAACTGATCAAAGCTCATCGGGATAAGGTCAAAGGTAAAGATTTTGTATATATTTCGCTGCAAAATATTTTGTTATGACATCAGGCAAAGCGGACCAGAATCCAACAAGAAGTCAACTGACCCAAGTTCAAAGGTCAAGGTAATTAATTCAAATGCCAATGTATGTTTTGCATCCTGTATCTTAATTGGATTGGAATCGACCAAGAAGTTAACTTCAGCATTCGGTTTAAGTTCCTGACATCCAGCATTTAGCTGGCTAATATTAAAAGGACTAATTACACAATAATAGCAGAATTGTTTAATGATCTTGTTCTTGAAAACTGTTACACACTGTGACAAAATACAATACATTGATGTATTATAGAGTTCACAGTTCATAATTACAAATCAGCAGTTATCTGGGCTCTGTCATTTTCACCATTTTGCAGGTTTTGAAAAATGTTCATGTAATTGCTGACATTTTGCACAAAGTTTATATAAATAAAATCATCGATTTCATCTGCACAAATAATACACAGATTGTGTAGAACACAGCAGGACATTGTGAGTTTGCATATATCTTCAACCTCTTTGCAGTACACTTTCTGTAGCCTACGAAACCGTCCTTTCAAATGTGCATTAGCAATTTCAACACACTGTCTTGCTGAAGACAATGCTTTGTTGAATTTCTTCTGTGAGGGTGTTAAGTGACCAGTGTCTCTGTCAGGTGTAAACAGCCAGTTACCAAGAGGGTAAGCACAATCACCAATCACTAGTTGTCCTGCAGTAACATTCCTGCCAGCTTCAGCCTCTCCATAAAACGACGAATTGCGAAGGACCCTAGCATCATGGGTTGACCCTGGCCTACCAACGTATGCATTGTTTATCAGTAATCTGTCATCCACTATCAGCTGCAGCTGTACAGATGGAAACTCTTTGCGATTGATATAATCGTTGTCGCCTCCTGGGCAATTTACTATGGGAAGATATGTACCGTCTAGCGCACCCACAATGTTACCAATTCCCGACATGACTTTGAAACTTTCTGCGATTTCAATTTCATGTTCCGCATTTGGCCAACAGATGTATTTAGTTTAATGTTCACACAACAAATCAGACACGTCTTAATGTTGTATTGACGGCCAATTCACCGATTCCAAACAGCACCGCTATTTCCCTTTGGCTATCCTGATCTGCACAATACCACACGAATATCAGCAGCTGTTTATCTGGTAGAATTAGTAGATACCCGCCACGATAGGTCTTCAGTAATTGGTCATGTAACTCGTCTTTAACATGCATGTAAACGTCACGACTGATAGGAACATGTCTGCGACATTGGACATGAGCGTGACAACGTTTTCACCAAATCCAAGTTCGGTCATTCGTCTTCGCTGGCAAGAGAGCACATAGTGGACATAAGTGGTAACAGTATTTCTTTTCTGTTTTCGTCAACTTCAATTAAATCATCCATGATTTGGTAGATCGCCAATTTTTTTAAGTTTGTTGTACAATCGTTTTTTATTGTGAACGCCATTTTATTGTTCTCGGCCATGTTCTCGTTGTTTGAGCGATACTTGGTAAGAACATGTTCTCGCACCAGTCGCGTGTCTTCAAAACCCTTTCGCCCAAGGACGCCCCCCCCCCCAATTACGGCATGAATTCAGTAGTTGATATCAACAGTATGAATTGGAGCCAGTAGTTGATATCTACAATATGACTTGGAGTCAGTAATTGATATCAACAGTATGACTTGGAGTCAGTAGTTGATATCTACAGTATGACTTGGAGTCAGTAGTTGATATCTACAGTATGACTTGGAGTCAGTAATTGATATCAACAGTATGACTAAGAGTCAGTAGTTGATATCTACAGTATGACTTGGAGTCAGTAGTTGATATCTACAGTATGACTTGGAGTCAGTAATTGATATCAACAGTATGACTAAGAGTCAGTAGTTGATATCTACAGTATGACTTGGAGTCAGTAGTTGATATCTACAGTATGACTTGGAGTCAGTAATTGATATCTACAGTATGACTTGGAGTCAGTAATTGATATCAACAGTATGACTTGGAGCCAGTAGTTGATATCTACAGTATGACATGGAGCCAGTAATTGATATCTACAGTATGGCTTGGAGTCAGTAGTTGATATCTACAGTATGGCTTGGAGTCAGTAGTTGATATCTACAGTATGGCTTGGAGCCAGTAGTTGATATCTACACTATGAATTGGAGTCAGTAGTTGATATCTACAGTATGACTTGGAGCCAGTAGTTGATATCTACACTATGAATTGGAGTCAGTAGTTGATATCTACAGTATGACTTGGAGTCAGTAGTTGATATCTACACTATGACTTGGAGTCAGTAATTGATATATACAGTATGACTTGGAGTCAGTAGTTGATATCTACAGTATGGCTTGGAGTCAGTAGTTGATATCTACAGTATGGCTTGGAGTCAGTAGTTGATATCTACACTATGGCTTGGAGTCAGTAGTTGATATCTACAGTACGGCTTGGAGCCAGTAGTTGATATCTACAGTATGACTAAGAGTCAGTAGTTGATATCTACAGTATGACTTGGAGTCAGTAGTTGATATCTACAGTATGGCTTGGAGCCAGTAGTTGATATCTACACTATGGCTTGGAGTCAGTAGTTGATATCTACAGTACGGCTTGGAGCCATTAGTTGATATCTACAGTATGGCAGTAATTGATATATACAGTATGGCTTGGAGGCAGTAGTTGATATCTACACTATGACTTGGAGTCAGTAGTTGATATCTACAGTATATCACTATGAGTGGAAGGCAGTAGTTGATATCTACAGTATGACTTGGAGTCAGTAGTTGATATCTACGGAATGAAGTCGAGTCAGTAGATGACAAATACAGTATTAGGTGGTGTCAGTAGTTGATATCTACAGTATGACTTGGAGTCAGTAGTTGATATCTACAGTATGACTTGGAGTCAGTAATTGATATCAACGGTATGACTAAGAGTCAGTAGTTGATATCTACAGTATGACTTGGAGTCAGTAGTTGATATCTACAGTATGGCTTGGAGTCAGTAGTTGATATCTACAGTACGGCTTGGAGCCAGTAGTTGATATCTACAGTATGGCTCGGAACCAGTAGTTGATATCTACAGTATGAATTGGAGCCAGTAGTTGATATGTACAGTATGACTATGAGCCAGTAGTTGATATCTACAGTACGGCTTGAAGGCAGTAGTTGATATCTACACTATGGCTTGAAGGCAGTAGTTGATATCTACAGTATGACTTGGAGCCAGTAGTTGATATCTACAGTATGACTTGGAGTCAGTAGTTGATATCTACACTATGGCTTGGAGCCAGTAGTTGATATATACAGTATGACTTGGAGTCAGTAGTTGATATCTACAGTATGACTTGGAGCCAGTAGTTGATATCTACAATATGACTTGGAGTCAGTAATTGATATCAACAGTATGACTAAGAGTCAGTAGTTGATATCAACAGTATGACTAAGAGTCAGTAGTTGATTTCTACAGTATGACTTGGAGTCAGTAATTGATATCTACAGTATGAATTGGAGCCAGTAGTTGATATCTACAGTATGACTTGGAGTCAGTAGTTGATATCTACAGTATGAATTGGAGCCAGTAGTTGATATGTACAGTATGACTTGGAGCCAGTAGTTGATATCTACACTATGAATTGGAGTCAGTAGTTGATATCTACAGTATGACTTGGAGTCAGTAATTGATATCAACAGTATGACTAAGAGTCAGTAGTTGATATCTACAGTATGACTTGGAGTCAGTAATTGATATCAACAGTATGACTAAGAGTCAGTAGTTGATTTCTACAGTATGAATTGGAGTCAGTAATTGATATCTACAGTATGAATTGGAGCCAGTAGTTGATATCAACAGTATGACTTGGAGTCAGTAGTTGATATCTACAGTATGGGTTGGAGCCAGTAATTGATATCAACAGTATGACTAAGTGTCAGTAGTTGATATCTACAGTATGAATTGGAGTCAGTAGTTGATATCTACAGTATGAATTGGAGCCAGTAATTGATATCAACAGTATGACTAAGTGTCAGTAGTTGATATCTACAGTATGACTTGGAGTCAGTAGTTGATATCTACAGTATGACTTGGAGTCAGTAATTGATATCAACAGTATGACTAAGAGTCAGTAGTTGATTTCTACAGTATGACTTGGAGTCAGTAATTGATATCTACAGTATGACTTGGAGTCAGTAGTTGATATCTACAGTATGACTTGGAGCCAGTAGTTGATATCTACAATATGACTTGGAGTCAGTAATTGATATCTACAGTATGAATTGGAGCCAGTAATTGATATCAACAGTATGAATTGGAGCCAGTAGTTGATATCTACAGTATGACTTGGAGCCAGTAGTTGATATCTACAATATGACTTGAAGGCAGTAGTTGATATCTACACTATGGCTTGAAGGCAGTAGTTGATATCTACAATATGACTTGAAGGCAGTAGTTGATATCTACACTATGGCTTGAAGGCAGTAGTTGATACCTACAGTATGACTTGGAGTCAGTAGTTGATATCTACAGTATGACTTGGAGTCAGTAATTGATATCTACAGTATGACTTGGAGTCAGTAATTGATATCTACAATATGACTTGGAGTCAGTAATTGATATCTACAGTATGAATTGGAGCCAGTAGTTGATATCTACAGTATGACTTGGAGCCAGTAGTTGATATCTACAATATGACTTGGAGGCAGTAGTTGATATCTACAGTATGAATTGGAGCCAGTAGTTGATATATACAGTATGACTTGGAGGCAGTAGTTGATATCTACAGTATGACTTGGAGCCAGTAGTTGATATCTACAATATGACTTGGAGTCAGTAATTGATATCAACAGTATGACTAAGAGTCAGTAGTTGATATCTATAAGAGTCAGTAGTTGATATCTACAGTATGACTTGGAGTCAGTAGTTGATATCTACAGTATGACTTGAAGTCAGTAATTGATATATACAGTATGGCTTGGAGCCAGTAGTTGATATCTACAGTATGACTTGGAGTCAGTAGTTGATATCTACAGTATGAATTGGAGCCAGTAGTTGATATGTACAGTATGACTTGGAGTCAGTAGTTGATATCTACAGTATGAATTGGAGTCAGTAGTTGATATCTACAGTATGACTTGGAGTCAGTAATTGATATCAACAGTATGACTAAGAGTCAGTAGTTGATTTCTACAGTATGACTTGGAGTCAGTAATTGATATCTACAGTATGAATTGGAGCCAGTAGTTGATATCTACAGTATGAATTGGAGTCAGTAATTGATATCTACAGTATGAATTGGAGCCAGTAGTTGATATCAACAGTATGACTTGGAGTCAGTAGTTGATATCTACAGTATGACTTGGAGTCAGTAGTTGATATCTACAGTATGACTTGGAGCCAGTAGTTGATATCTACAGTATGACTTGGAGTCAGTAATTGATATCTACCATATGACTTGGAGTCAGTAGTTGATATCTACAGTACGGCTTGGAGTCAGTAGTTGATATCTACAGTATGACTTGGAGTCAGTAGTTGATATCTACAGTATGGGTTGGAGCCAATAGTTGATATCTACACTATGGCTTGGAGCCAGTAGTTGATATATACAGTACGGCTTGGAGGCAGTAGTTGATATCTACAGTACGGCTTGGAGCCAGTAATTGATATCTACAGTATGACTATGAACCAGTAGTTGATATCTACAGTACGGCTTGGAGCCAGTAGTTGATATCTACAGTACGGCTTGGAGCCAGTAGTTGATATCTACAGTATGACTTGGAGTCAGTAATTGATATCTACAGTATGACATGGAGCAAGTAATTGATATCTACAGTACGGCTTGGATCCAGTAGTTGATATCTACACTATGACTTGGAGTCACTATGGCTAAGAGCAATAAGTTGCTATAACCACAGTAGGGCTTGTATCCGGTAGGTAGTTGATAGCATCACTGAGGCTTATTTCTAGTTCTAACTGGTTAAGACCTTGACTCACATCAAACCGCTCCTTTATTTCTATCACAGTGGCGACTGCCCTCTACAGTGATAAGTGCCCACTGACCATTGGGCGTTACGATCCAAGTGAAAGGTCATGATTTTTATAAGATTTACCATTCGATTCAATCATGTTAGCAATGTCTTGGTGTCTACCTTCCCTTATATCTGTAAAATTAAAAATTATGATGACACGTGGAAGGAAAGGTCAAGGCAGATTCAATTCATTAATGTCACTCTGTGT